CGCCGCCAGCACCGCCGCCCCGTTGGGCACGCCTGTGCCCAGGGCACCTTCCCACGCGTCTTCCTTGGCGGCCTCGGACGCCTCTCGGTTCTGGATCCCTTGAAGGATGGAGGACTTGAGTTTTTTGAAAGACCCCATTTTGCGGAAGGAGGCCAGGGCGTTCCACGTGGAGGAGCTCCCCACAAGCACCACGGAGCGCGGCCTCTCGCCGTCTGCGCCCGCCCGCTTGCGGCTCACGGAGAAGAGGCGCACGAGCTTGGAGGGGCTGAGCCGGGCCTCCGGGGCCTCAGGGTCGCTTCTGTACCCTCCGTTCCGGCAGGCCGCAGATGTCACCATCTTGGGGTCCTTCAGGTCGGAGCCCGAACAGGGTGCTGCAATAGCCGGCCCATGGCCATTCTGGGTTGTGGTCATGTTCTGGGAGCCCAGGGCAGCGTGGCTCAGACCTGCGTGGACATGTGTGTCCGCAGGCCCCCACTGCAGAGCGTCGTCATCCAGGCCACCAGCCCAGCTGCCATCTCTGCTCCGCTCATCGGGCTCCAAGGTGGCCGCTGCCTGCAGCAGAAAACAAAGCGGACATTTAGCCGTTTGCCCACAGAAGAACCTCCCCAATCCGGGGCTAATTGTTTTGCTTAACAATTGCCAGTATTAAAAAAAGAGAAAAAGAAAGGCAAAGGTAAGTCCGATGATAGGGCTGATCACATTAAGAACCACTTTTTAACTAACAGTTTCCATCAATTCATTTCATAATACATTGAAGGGAAGAAGGCAAATACATAGCCCTAAAAAAAAAGAAGTTATGGGTTCTGCATCAGTATGATGGTGAATCCTTGAACTTGTTGAAACCTGTGGAGGTAAGTTGTGGAAAACTACTGGAAGGAAAATGCCATTATTCAAGACTGTTTCTTTTCTGTGAACTATACACTGGAAGGAATCTTACCAAGTACCAGAAAAACCCATAACTGTCTCAACTGAGGCACGCTGAAACGCCAGCCTGTGTTCAGTACAACACAGCCAGTAAGCAAGAGGGAGCTTGGTTTACATGGGAACAGGTGCGTGTGGTGCAGAGATGGAGACGGGAAGGAGCTGTCCTTTGCTTCCCATCCAGGAGAGCTGTAAAGTACCAACAAACAGGAATGAAAGAGCTACGCCTTGCTATGGTCACGGGCAGGAGGGCCACACCAAGGAAGTTCGGTGACAGGCTTTGTGAAGAAAACAGCTAGCAGGAGCTTTTTCAATGTATTGTAACAGGCCAGAGGATGGAGCGAAGTGAAGACAGCTTTGGAGTATTAGAAGTTCAGACCCAAGAATTCAAATTAAGCCAATCACACATCTTGCGCTTCTCATATGCACAGAAAATGACAAGCATGTGACCAAGCCCTTCCCTCCAGTACACTTCTGTGTTCATGCCTTCTTCCCCCAGACCTGTGTCCATTCCCTTCTGCCCTTGCAATGTGTGTCTCTGCCTTCCTCCCTCAGACCTGTATTTATGCCTGGCCCCCACCTCTGTCCGTGCCCTTGCACATATGTATCCATACCTTCCTGTACCCCATGTACCTGTGTCCATGTTCTTTCCCCCTAATTGAAAATGCTGCTACCTTTCAACCCATCAGGTCAAGATCTGCTCAGCCCTCATGAGCTAGTTTAAATGTCAGTCTTTCTACTCTCAATAAATGATTGATGACTAAATGAATAGTATTTGATTAGTGCTTGCTATGTGTCTGGGTCGTACACTAAAGTCTTTAAAAAACATCATGCTCCTGAGTACTCCTGGAAGCATGAGGTCAACAGAATGATTTTCACATTATGGACAGTTGGGTAGGTTAGGTCATTGTCTGGGGGGTCATGCAGCTGCCCCTCTAAAGCCTATGTTGTTCCCCACTGCATTAAACTAATGAGCAGAGGGACTGAAACACAGCTGGGATCTGTAGGCAAAGCACCTGACTCAAATTCCAGCACCTCATTACCCTAACATCAAATCCCAGCAGTCCTTAGATTGTTGTCAAGGCCATTTCCTCCAAGACAACTGAAGGGCAGTAGAAGAGGAGGAGGAAGTTGTGGAAAGACCAGGTTAGATCTCCATTTAGCTTATCCCTTCTCATGAGCAGAATTTGACCTTGGGTAAAAAGAACTGTATCTCATATGCTCCTACAGTGGACCTGCTTGATACATTCTTGTGTTTATTGGCCCCTGGGTCATCCCTAGAGTCAAGGATAAAAGGGTGAAGGGTTGACTCCATCTGGGACTGACCCAAGAAGCTACACTGACTTAGATTGTCAAGCAATCCATCAATTACAAGATTGATGGGCTACTGCATGCCTTCTAGTTTAATGTTCTAATGGGGAATTTAGGGGGCCTGTGGGTTGCATGCGAATGAGTCACTTACGTAGTCTTGATTCATCACACAGAGTAGATGAATTCTGTAACCAGTTTCAAAATAAGCCTAACACTGAATTATCACCTGTCTGCCTTTTCTGACTCAGGGAGGTACTGTGGTTCCAGGGTCTCAGAGTTTCAAAATGAACTAGAAGCTTAATCAAATATTCAAATCCAGTGTATAGGAACTACTGATTGAATATGAAGTAGTACTAGTCTTATGACTTGCACTGGAAACAAGGTAAGAAGACATGGTCCTGCCTTATAACTCAGCTGGGCAATTATTGGCATTACCACCAGAGGGCACTAGGAAAACTTATAACCAACAAAGACACCTGTTAAACTGGCCCTTAGGGCTCAAGATGTGCTGGCAAGCATGTTTGTTAGGTAGTTTGAGTATGACCCATAGATGACCTAGAGCTAAACCTAAATTTTACATTTGGTACTGTCACATGATTTTCAGGAAATCATTTCAGTAATCTTCAGTGTCATCTCTAAAATAAGGTATTAACATTTATGTCCCTATCAACCAACTAGTCAATCCATGAGTCTCTGTTGTGTGCAAGATTGGTACAGGCCTCATAATGAACTCAACACAGTGATAAGAAACTGACACGGGCAAAGGAACAGAGTAGTCAGGAACATAAGTTATAATTGGCAAGCGTAGGTTAGGGTAACCAGCTGTCCAGCTGAACCAGAAATGAGCGTTCTAGGACCTGGGAACTTTCAGGGTTAAAGCTGGAAAAATCCTTAACAAACTAAAATGACTGCTCACTAGAAGGATGGCCCAGTGTAATAAAGTAGTAGAAATTAAGGGGGAAATGGCCTTAGGAAAAAAAGTTAGAAAAACTACTAATCAATACCAAATCATTTTATGAGGTCAATGGTAAGCATCAGCTTCTCTGGAAATTCCTTCCTGAAACCCCCTAGAATGAATAAGATGCCTTATTCTGTGCTTCTACACAGCTTCAGGCATCTCATCAAACTGATATTACCCAAGCATGTAATAATACTAGTTTTATATGGCTGCTCTCAGAACAAAACTGCACAAAAACTGTGATTATTCATCTCCATGTGAGATTCTGTCAAGTTATCCTGCCTGTGTCAGGTTTTTTTTTTCTTCCATTTTTTTGTTTTTTGAGACAGGGTCTTGTATGTAGTTCAGTCTGGCCTTGAACTCAGTATGTAGTCTAGGCTGGCTTCAAACTCATGGTGATCCTCCTGCCTTAGCCTCCCAAGTGCTAATTACAGCTGTGTGCCATTTCCCCCGGTTCTGCCTATACCCAGTTGCGTCTATAGATGTACAGCTATACTAAGGTAACAAGTCATTACATACTACTATTTTTTTTCCAGAATGAAGATGCTTCAATTTTTATAACACTAATAAGTATTTATTTAAAACTTTTAAGTTTAAATAAAGATTCAGATTCTGTAAAATATATCCAGAAAGCTTCAGTTTTTAATAGGGGCAACATGCTTTTTAAAAAAGCTAGTGACTTGCCATTTTGCTCAGGAGCTGAACAATGTGATTGTTGTGTATTGCTCAGAATGAAACTGAAGATCAGGGGGAAAAAAAAAAAAAAAGCTTTTCCTGGAATTTCTGAGTAACATACCAAGTTGCATTATTTAGAACTAATACTTTGACCTCTATTAACTAACAAGGGCTGCAATTCAATTAGTGGTTTTATAGAAAGCCTTACAAATCGTGGGAGCTTCGCCAGAGATGCTTATGAACAGAACTACAAGAATTTTGGATGGGAATATTGTGAACTCCAGTTGTCTACAGCTGCATTCTGGGTTATCTGAACTTTAGGATACTGTAGAATGTTTCTTCCCAGTAATGAAGTTTTTCTTAAAAAAACTATAAACAGAAAATTTAAGTTAAATCCTAAACTTTTAAATTCAGGAACATTTACCCAGCTTATGTATAAGCAAGACAATTTCTATAGTGTGTTGATACAAACTATGGAAAATGTGATACTGAAAGAAAATGACATCTGAAATCCTAAATAAAGGAGTGAAAGCATGGACCTCTATATTACAGCACTAGAACAGATGACCACAGGAACATCTAACCTCTATTTGTCTCTATCTGGGAAACTAGTGAGACTAATCTACTACTACCCTGATCCCCCAAGTTTTACTTCCTGTGTTTTTCAGTTAGGCTTAGACAAATATGGTTCAAAAATATTAAATGGAATATTCCAGAAGTAAACAATTCATAGGTTTTACATGTTGTTCTTGGAAGTACAATGAAATCCCATGCTATCTTTCTCTGCCCTACACAGGATGTCAATCGTCCCTTATCCAGTGTGTCCATGCTGTATATGCTACCTGCCCAGTAGTTACTTAGTATCGGTCTTGGTTATCAGATCAGTGTCATGGTATTACAATGCTGGTGTGTTCAAGTAACCCTTATTTTATTCCATAAAAGCCGTGATGTTGGCAATTCAGACACATCAAAGGAAAGCTGTAAAGTGCTCTCTTTACAGAAAAAGGTGAAAGTTTACAATATGTAGGCATAGAAATAAACCACTGTCTATTTAGGGTTTAGCACTATTTGAGGTTTCACTCTACCAGGGCCTTAGAAAACCTCTTCTGGGGATAAGGTGGGATGATCTTTCACAGTTATTAGTGAAAGCACAGTGATGAAGTTCCAACCCCAGCACTGCCACCTACTGGCACTTCCCTGAGGATCTCTGTGGTCACTTAAGTCTTAAGACTGTCCATCCCAGTTCTCTGTGCAATGCGAGACCACCACTGCCTTATCATAGGTCTGTGGAAGCTTTGCCTGGCCTCCTGCCATGGCCTCCTGATTGCTCTCCTATCTTATGCTGGGGCTCACTTTCAACCATTCTTCTGCTGCCAGTGTCCTTTCCAACGTGTAAACAGGCATATCACTGAATCCAGTGCCACTGGCTGCCTTTGAACCTCAGAGAGAAGTGGGACTCCCTCAGCCTATACTGGACACTTTCACTTTAGCTGTGCTGTATCATTCACCATGGTCCCTTTTCATACTACTGTGTCTCTATTTGCTTCTTTGCTCTTGGGTTCTCTCTTCAGCCATTGTTTTCTCTCTAGCCCCTCAATTCTCAGGCTGCCCTGACAAATGGCTTCAGGCCAAGCTTCATCAGTGGGAATCAGGAACAGGAAATGATATGAGGGCGAGAGCAAGGGAAGGCCAGGCCAGGCAGCTACTCCTTTCTCCCTGTATATATGTATCATTTCACTTAACCATAGTTTATGACATTTCTATAGGAAAATTCACCCAAAGTCCTAATTCTAGAGATGAAGTAATTTTCTGCACACTCCAGCACTAAGACTAGACTCTCTCCCTCCTGCTCAGCCCCATATACACACTACAATGAGGGGAAGGAGCAAACTGCTCTCTCACCCCTGGACCTGATAGCCTCAGTGTAACTTCTGCATGAAGATGGTGGAGGCTGCTAAATTAAATGTTTATAAATTACAAGTGTATATAAAAACATAAATGTGAATAACAGTGGATAAGATTAAATAATCACCTCTAAGGGAAAGGTGTTGATTTCATACAAGTGTATGACTGTCTTGGCTTACCTTATCTGGGTTACTGGGCTAAACTGCATTCCTGTGGGGAAAATGGTATTTTCTCAACAGGGATAGGTGTTGACTTGCCAATCCTATGGGGTGATGAGATGGAGCAAATGAGGATTTGCAAAGGCAGGCTTCAGACAGAAGAAAAAAATATACTTTCTATCTCTGAATTTGGAGGTCAGGCAGGTATAGCATGAGATGCAGTCAATCTCTGTGTCCGCACTGGCCATTATCCCCAGTGCTTAGGTAATTTGCAGCTTCTCACCTCTACCTTTGGAGCTCAAAGAACCTGGGAAGACTGCCAACAGTAGCTCTAAAGGTGGCTTTGTCTTGACTTCCTACAGCTCATCCCCTGTCTTCTTCCTGCCTGGTGGTAAATAAGACTGCAGTAGCAACCACTGAAGTTCACAGCCAGGACTACCTACCTAATAGCTGCAGCTAGTGCCAAGACTGATGTCACCTTGGAGACTGTGCCTCCCCCACATTCCCTATCCAGAGCAGTGAAAGTTTTCCAGATGGGTGGCCCTAATCTTGAAGGTCACTGGAGCAAAACAATGTCTGCTTGCTGGAGGCAGACTGGCCAGAATCTGGGGGTGTGCAGTCAACACAGACACCCCCTCGGAGGGACAGCAAGGCTTCTACATGCAGTGTTTAACCCAGTGTACTAAAAACGTGTGTGTGTGTGTGTGTGTGTGTGTGTGTGTGTGTGTTATTGAGGACTGAAGTCAGGCCTCGCACATGCTAGGTGACCAATGTTGCCCCACTGAGCTACCCTTGCAGCCCCTAACAACTGCGTATAAAGCATATATTTGTGCTGTATCATCCCTGCATTCTTTTCAGCTGGACTTTTTGCTTTTGTTCTTTGCATTCAGTATGTTTCTAGGCAAAGAAGAGGCCAACTCCTAGCTCAGTTTCCAACCAGGAGCCAATGAGGTCATAATTTAGGGGATGTCACAACAACTCATTTGCCATCATGAAAGACCCAAGTCCACAAAAGGCGCAGGCCCAGCTTTGCTCAATCAGGCATCTCCAATTCTCAAATCAGTTTTACACATTAAAGCAGCTGCTGAGGTGCTTTCTACTGCCTCAGCTGTCTTCCTCTAATTGAAGTGACAGTTGGGTATTGTTTCCCTGTGCGCCCTTCATGTCTCCTAGCACAGACATCCTCACTTAGAAACCATTTGACAACACTAAGGATGACACCACCAATGGACAAAGCCAGTGGTGGCCAGCTGCTGCTCCTGGGCAGCTTACATCTCTCTGCCTGCTGGACGTGTGGCCTGCTTGGCAGGAGCAGAGTTGTGGCCACTTTGTTAGAGGTGGAGCTTCTTATCACCAGCCCATCCTTGGGGACACAGTGCTCAGGTATAAGGAAAGCTTCTGACGGTTCCTCGGGAAACCACATTCTCATACTTTCTCCAGAATCAGAAGAGCGAATGGACCCCAACTACAAAGAAAACCTGCCAAGGGGGGAATGGACTGAAATCCTGGGAAGAAAAGTATCACACAGACCTTCCCTGCCAGCACCCATTCCTCTCAGTGGCTGGGAGCTTTACCATTCTTTATCCCACAAAGATTTCTGGGCAGAAGTCTCCATTGGTCACCTGAGCAGCTAGCTCCCAGATCAATGGCTGAGTGGTTCAGGGTACCTGGTAGGAGAATAGACATAGCTCCTGGTGCTGGATGTGCAAAGGCCCTCTGGAATAAGATCAGTGATACCAGTTATTTGCTGCCAGATTGAACAACTCCAAAACTCACTGTGAAACAACTGCCACTGGATTAAGAGGTAAGGCCTCTGAGAGGTGATTAGGCCACAAGACTCCATCCTCAAAAATGGGTTAATGTCATTATTGTATCAATTCTGTAACCTCTTGCTCTCCCTCTCCCTTGCCATGTGACATCCTCCACCAAGCAGCACAGCAGGAAGACCCTCTCTGATCCCTCAATCTCAGACTCCCCAGGCTCCAGAAGCATGAGGTGGATAAACCTCTAATGTTTACAATACCCAGCCTGGGATGTTCTGTTATAGAAGCAGAAAACAGACTAAGACATGGATACAGTCACCAGTGGAGACAGCTGTGATCTGCTCTGTCATCTGGAGCCTACTGGTGGGGCAGCGAGTGGGAGAGACCAGCTGCTGGACAGCCTCATCCCTCAGAACCTCACCACCTCCAAACACACCATGAGGTGTGCTTTCCGTGCCTTCCAGGATCACGTCCGGTTTCCTTCCCGACTGCTTGTTATTGTTAATCTGGGGACCTCGCCCAGCCCTCTAACACTCAGCCTGTTAAGGGACACATGGCCAGCACTGTGGCCACATGGTTCTGTCTTCCTTTGACACGATGGGCCACCTCTCACAAGCTCAGAAGTTCCTGCTGCGTAGGTACGAGACAGGGCAGGGGCTGGTACTGACCCAGGTGGACCCTGGCAGCAATCCCAGTGACAGAGCCCTTTTACACAGAGTTCAGTGATGTTGTGAATATGTTAGATGCTTGGCAATCCTGAATGGAAAACAAATACAAATGCTCCTAGACTCAGAATGAGGTTATGGCCCATTAAACCCATTGTAAGTTGGTGATAGTGTGAGCAGAGAAGGCGTGGAAGCCACCTAACTTGCCGACCCTCACAGCTCAGGAGCACAGTATCCTGGGAAGGGTCGGTGGTGAACCCCGCCTGCGAGCTGTGGTTGCTGCTGCCGTATGACAAGAGGCTCACACCACACATCACCAGCCCAGAGCAGGATCCAATTTCAAAACTCCAAGTATGGTTTTTACTAAACACTTAACACACTTTTGCACCATGATAAAGTCGAAAAATAAAAAGTGGGAGACTGTCTGTATTATATTGAGGTTTTTTTTGTGAAAAATTCAAAACCAGCTTAGGTTAGGCATCAAAAAACTAAAAAACAAAAACCAAAAAATAGCAATAAAGCCTGAAATATGCTTTAAATATGGAAGTCTCCAGGCCATGAGGAAAGCAATGCATTTGCTCCTGGGAGGGCAGATGTCAAGTAGCAGGTGATGACCAAACGAAGCCAGGGCAGCGCCCATGTCGGTGAGGCCAGGGCACAGGCAGAGGCAGTGCTGTGGGTGAAGGAGGTGGCATTGTCCAAGGCTCACAATTTCTGGTTTGGCTTCACTGCCTTTGACTTAGCACTGCTTTGTCACCTGGGCTAGTGACATCACACCCTAGAATGCAGATTTCTCAGTGGATCCCAAAATTCCTCTCAGCATATTTGATGAGGTTGTTAGGAGAAGCAAACGCATTAGAAAAACAATGTGTTTTTTTTTGCTGCTAAGCAGCCTATGGTTAACAGAAATTCTCTTTGACGAGAATAACTCACATAACTGTGCAGGGTATGTACAATTAGTGTAATAAATAATACACTTATTATTTTACATACTAAATGCTAACCTATTTATATTTTGCTAAATCAAAAGAGGATGTTCTCATTGCAATATTATTCTTCTCAAGATGTGACATCTTTCTGGTTAAGTGTAAAGTTGATAGCTATAGGTCATTCATTAACTATAAAGGGGAGTCTAAATCAAGCCGGGGATGGTGGGAGAAGGATCTCAAGTTTGAGCCCAAACCCGAGCAACTTAGCAATTTAATAAGACTTGACTCAAAATAACAATTTAAAAAATTAAAGAAGAATCCTGGATTGTAGTTTAGTGCAAAGACCCTGGGATTAATCCTCAGTACCACTACCTCTCTCACACACACAAAATTCTAGATCAACAACGAAGTATTCTGTTGGAAAGTCAGTATATCTGGTGTGGACAGGTAATAATGAGGTGACCTTTTGCAGGTGGGAAGGGGATCTAGGGATGAGAGGGGAAGAAGGCAAGGGTACAGGGAACTATAAGGGTCTACAACTCCCCATGATGAATGTGTTCATTACGTGCTGCAAACATGTACTATTAAAAAAAAAAAAGAAAGTCAATGTATCTGGTCTTGGGCAAAAGGAATACATCCCAAGAGGCCCATAGCAGTGCAGATGTACCCACACGGACAAACCCCTACCTTAAGGTTTATCACTTTGTGATTCATAATTGGAAACACCCCCTCCCCACAGTCATCCAGTTCAAACATCATGGCCAGGTAGAAATGATGTGTAGCTAGGTACAAGAAGGGACCAGTAAAGGAAAATCAGAATGTGGGTGTGAAAGTACACAACTACTTTTTCTAAAAGATACCTGGGAAACCAGCCAAGGGTGGTGGTGCCTATAATTCCAGCACTTGGAAGGCTGAGGCAGGAGCATCACTGAGTTTGAAGTTAGCCTGGGCCACATACGGAATTCAAAGCCAGCCCTAATTAAATAAAGAGACCATATCTCAAAACAAAAGCAAAAACAAAACAAAGAGAAAAAAATATACCTGAGAAACCAAGTATATATAAAATGTCATTATTTAATTTTAAAGTTGACTCTAATTTTCTTGATGAAAATGGATAATAGATGCCTTAAGACTCTTTCAGCTTTGATGGTGAGGTCTAAGTAAGGGTTTTCATTGTTTGCAGTGCTGGAGATCAAACCAAAAACTTCAAGCATGCTAGGCAAGTGTTCTACCACCGAGCCACATCCCAAGCCTGTCTGACTATGAGATATTAGTATCAGACATCTCAAAAGTTTGATCTAAATGTCTACTGCTCAGACTTTCAAACATATTTTCCTATACGATGCTCATATCATCTCCAGAATCCAACCTAATTCATAGTGTAAATGGACTATATTACTAATGGTAATAGGATTATTACATCTTTAATAGTTGTTTGTTAGTGAGATAATGAACTAACTAAATCACAATTATAAGAAAAGATGAACATGATATCTGACAAAAGATGAACATGATATCTGACACAGAAGCCCCAAATGGTAGGTAGCAGAATCAGAAAAAGAGGGCTAGCAAGTTCTGTCCTCTTTCTGGTAAGAGAAAGACCCTTTATGATATTTTGAAACTGAGCCTTTATTCTGGCACCCTCTTTCCTTCCTCTTCACATGCTTGTCCCCTCTGTCCTACTCACAGCTCCACAGTGTCCCATAATACAAGTGGTTACTTCCACACACTGGCCACCTTCAATTTACTTCCAGGAATCTGTCCCTGGAGACAGAGGTAACCCTAGCAGCCAGCACACAGAGGTAAACTTGTAGTTTCCTCTGCTGTAAGGTGCTACTACACCCAAGGAGGTCAGACTTCATACCCATTGCACAGCTTATATTCATGGCATCTCTAATTTTATTGGTTTGGCTCAGGAGCAGATATGCTACACGGCTAGAGTGCTTATCTTAAGTAAGAGTTGGGAGTCTCAGCCTGCCCAGCTACCAAATAAAGCCTTTTATTTGTTCAATATCTGGCAAAGTGGCTGCTCAGACTCATGTTGCAATGTGGCCCACTTAACTGTATTTGAATTTCATTTAAAAAACAGCCCTGGTTTTAAGCATTCCTTACCCCTACCCTCCCCCAAAGCCTGTCAAAGTCTGTTAATTCTCTTCCAATTACAATTTCAGAGCTATAACGATATAGCAGCCGATGCTCTGTGTCCCAATAGTCCTTCCTAAGCAAAGGTCCTGATGCAATGGAGACTGATATTTTGGCAATAATGACTGCCTAGGTTGCCTCTGGGGTGAGTGAATAAGCAGTTCATGGCCTTATGCAGCTAGGAACACCTGTAAAGTTACCCAAGACTGTCGTCATTCGTGCAAACATAAATTAGAAAAGAACACTCTCATCCTTTGCTTAAATGAGGATGCTGTGGATGGTTTCCTTCATCTTCCAGCAAGAATGAGCTTCAGATGGGACATTATGCACTCATTCCTTCATTTGATCATGCAACAAATCTTTTGTTGGCTCCTGTGTCTGAGTGGAATTAGGGTAGATACTTTAGCAAGAGGACATGCTGCCATGGCCATTACAGAACTTCAGCCAATTGGAGAAAGACATAATTAAATAAGTCTGAGCAGTGTTTCCCTGTGCTGGCCTCTTTCAGAGAGACATGAATATTGAATGTCATGGTGCTGATGGATAGCAAGCAAAACCAGGAGCCTGAGATACAGACCCTGGATGCAGCAGGAGGGGTAGGGAGAGGGCGGGTCTGCAGAAATAGTATTAAGGACCACAGGAGCCTCCAGCAGAGGCTTTGGCAGCAGCTGATCTATGAAGATCAGAAGGCAGTGAGACTCAGAAAAACAGCTGGGGAGGCCATCAGAGTCCAAAGGAAATGAAATGAATATGCTGAAGAGACTTCTAGACTCCCATGTTCACTGGATTATTCACAGTAGCCAAGAAATGGAAACAACCTCAGGGTCCACTAGTGGATGAATGGATGAAGATATAAGTGATGTAAGTACACAACGGAACACTGCTCAGTGGTAACACAGAAGGAAACCTTGCCATTTGTGACAGCATGGATGGAGCTGGAGACATTATGCTACAGGAAATCATCCAGGCACAGGAAGACATATAGTGTGATCTCATTTTTTTTCTTCAATCAGATTTCATTGCTACATTTTGGATATATATAATGATCACATTCATCACAGAGAATTTGTACCTGTACATGATATAACTTGATTCTTTTATTTCCCATTCCCCTACCTTCCCTTCAACCCCTCCTCCCCTCCTCATTGTGATCTCATTTATATGTGAAACTTAAAGCAGAATGTAATGTCAGGGATGGAGAAGGTGAGCCAAATGGGGATGTCTTGCTTAAAGAGTACAACATTTTAGTTCTAAGATAAATTCAGAAGATATACTCAACATGGGGATGATAGATACTAATACTGTGTTATATACTTCAAGTGTGCTGAGAGGAGATCTTAAACATTTTTGACAGTGTGAACCACTTCACAGTGTGTCCATATACACAAGATCAGGTAGGCAGACCCCTGGAATACAGATTGTTTAGGTGGTGCTAGGGACAGAAACCAGAGTCTTGCAGGCAAGCCGTGTACCACTGAGCTACAACCCCAGCCTTGCACATGTACAATTTTTGTCAATTATTATTCAGTAGAGCTAGGGAGAAGGGCACTGGGGGTTGGAACCAGAGCCTTGTTTTCTTAGTCCCTTTCCTTATCACTGAGACATATTACTCAACATCCACAATGTTAAAGATTTATTTTGACTCATGTTTCAGTCCAGGACAGCAGAGCAGGGCAGCTCAGAGCAGGGCAGTGTGGAAGCAGAGTGAAGGGAGGAGCTGGGGAGGGGATAACCCCTTTAAAGCCATGCCTCCCATGACTGGCCTCCTCAGACCAGACTCCCCTCCTAACAGCAAGTCAGCTATAACCCTCCATAACCCAATTACCTGCCCCAAACCCCACTTATGATTGCATGAGGTCTCAGGGGGACATCTACATATAAACCAGAACATATGTGCATGCTAGAAAAGTACTCTACCACAGGGATATATCCTTAGTTCTTTTTAACACTTCATCTTGAGCTAGGGTCTCATTAAATTGCCCAGGTTGGCTTGAACTTGAGATCCTCCTACCTCAGTATCCCAAGTAACTAAGCTTACTTAGTTAGATGGTGTGTACCACCATGCCCAGTTGGACTTTGTCAAATGATTTTTTTCTGTATCTACTGAGGTGGTCACATGGTTGTTCTTCTTGACTCTGTTCGGTATATTACATTTACTGATTAGCGTATGTTGAACCATTCCTGCATCCTGAGGATTTTTACGTCTATGTTCATTAGGGAGATTTGCCTATAGTTCTCTTTTATGGATGGATCTTTTGCTAGTTAGAGTATTGGGGTAATGCTTGCTTCCAGGAATGAATTTGGGAGTATTGCTTCTCTTTCAACGAGGTAATTGGATTATGGAGGTTTATAGCTGACTTGCTGTTAGGAGGGGACCTTGCTCTGAGCTGCTCTTCTCAGGTGTCCTTGGAGCAGAACTAAAGTGGTTTATACTGCTGCATATACTTTCAATGCAATTTTGAATCTCCTAGATATCTGTTTGAATCTGCTTCACGGATTCCATTTTTTTCCTGTGTTGGGGATTCATGGTTTCCATCTTTTTCCGGAGCTCCTCTTTTTTTTTTTTTTTTATCTGTGTCTGTTGTAGAATCACTGACCATGTGCTCATCATCTCTGTAGTTACCTCAGAAATTATTTCTGATTTGATTTGTTCTAGAGTCCCATTCATCTGCTTTGTTATTTCCACTATTACCACTTCAGAGAGTCCAGGTCAGTGGCTTTCAAACTGTACTTCACTGCTGGCTGGGTTTGCCTTTTGTGAGCTCACCACCTTTAATTGTATGAACTAGATTTGTAGTTACAGAACAAAATCTAAAACAAACCAGAAAACTGAACACATTAAATATGCCCTCAACATGGCAATTTTACTCTCAAGATAGAAAATTTAAAAGAGGATGGGGAAAGATAGAGAAATAGAAGAAGAGGAGGAGATTAGAAGCAAGGCTGGAGGACAAAGGAAGATTTTGTGAATTTTGGGAAACTGGTGAAGAAGATGGGAGGGAAAGAGAAGGAAGAAATGAAAACAAGAGCAGAACAGAACAACAAAAAACTAGAAACAAGGTCACATTCATATAAAAACAAGAACAAACAATCAAGAAAAGTAAACTAAAACAAATCAAAATTAAGAAAAAAAGTCTACTTCAAAGTGTGTCTCTGCTCTTACTGGTAGACAAAGTGGGTAGACAGAGTCCAGATCTGAGCTGATTAATCCCAGCAAGCCAGCCATAGATTTACAGCAGGGTGGTGGACTTTCCCAGTAAGCCAACATTTTAACTCCACTGTAGGTCAGGCTGGTTTCTGGCTATGAGGCTGGAACCTGATTTGTTCAGCCTGCAACACTCCATGTGCCTCCTGCTGGCTTGAACTCAGCTCCTTGGCATCCTGCTGATTTGAACTCCATTCCATTTCACCCTGACACTGAGAGCCACTAGATGAAGCCTACCTGCAGCTGCTCCAGTGCTGAGCCTAGTTGGCTCTTCTCCAAGATGCCTACCAGCCAATTGCCGTCTCCTCCCTGGGATATCTGAACCTGAGTAACCCACCATCCACTGCAGTCTGCTGCATCCACTGCTCTGTTCTACTAGCACATTTCTCCAAGGAGGCCTCTGGGGTTGCTAGTAGTCACCAAGCGTCTGCACATCTGAGCTGGCCTCCCGCACAGTGAACGCAAGCTCAGGGAGAAAGTGCTGCTTGCCACTTTCTCCTCCTTCCTTGAAGTCTCGGTCTTCGCTCACGGGGTTTGTTTCTCACTCCAGACCCTTGCTGGGCCCCAGGGACCCACTTCCCTCCTTTTTGTCTTTTTCATG